GGGTGGAAAGGGGGGGAAAAAAAGGAAGGGGGGGGTGTTTGGGGGCCTGAAAATGTGTTGCTTCCTGTGGGGTTTACCCCCCCCCCCCCCGGTTTTTTTTTGGGCTGTTGGGGGGGGTTTTTTTTTTTTTTTGGGGGTGGTATTTTTTGGGGGGGGGGTTGGGGGGGGGTTTTTTTTTTTTTTCCCCCGGGGGGGAAGGGGGGTTTTTCTCCCGGGGTTTTTTGTTGGGTTACCCGGGGTTTTTCCCCTTCCGGGTTTTTTAAAAGGGGGGCCGGGTTTTTTTTTTTGGTTTTTTTTTGGGGGGGTTGGGGCCTTTTTATTTTTTTTTTGGGGGGCCCCCTTTTTTTTGGAAGGGGCCCCAAAAGGGGGGCCCTTTTTTTTTGGGGGGTTTGGGGGGGGCCCCCCCCCCCCCCCCCCCCCCCCCCCGCCCCGAAGCGGCCTCCCGCACCAACGGGACGAACGACTAAGCCGTCGAAGCGGCCCGCGGCATGACTTGCAGCAGGTGGGGGCACGCGGACATGAGTAGTTCTACGCTTGAGTTTCGCCTACACCACAATGGCCAAAATCGCCTTTGCCGCGGAAATCCCACGTGTACACGTACATACGCAAGTGGACGCCGTAGACTTGTTCCGTTGTGCTGCCGCGGGAAATCTACGAGTGGAAACACTAGCCGTTGCGTCTTGGCTACATACAACAAGCGCCGTCCCGCAAGCTTTGAAGGTCAAAACCATCATTGAAGGGAGCCGGTGCTCTGAAAAACACAATCATCTCTCGCGATAAAAAAAATACTCACGTGGAACTGCTGCACGTCCGGGCGCTTGGTGTCCTTCGCCGCAACGATGCCCGTGCGGATGATCTGGATGGAGCGAGGGCGGCACCGGTGGCGGCCAGCCATCTCCGAGTCTGCTCCCAACAACCATGTCATTGACCGAGAGACGAAATACAGCAGCAGCAGGAGCAGCCCCAGTGACGGCATTTTTGTCGAGATCGTCCGCGTTCCGTCAGCCCCAGCAAGCGTCACGCCATGGTTACGAACGTACAGCAGCAGTCAGCACCGCCGAACAGGCGACATCAAGAGCAGCAAGCAACGACCCGGAGGGAGACGAAAATGGCGCGGGAGGATGGCGGGAGAGGGACACGAAACATCAGCAGACAACGATGGGCAACTTGCCGGTGCTACTGCTGCTGTAGGTAAAAAAAGCTCCACGATCAATAAAAGTTCCTGCACTGCCCCATATGGGACGCACGGGCGGGACAAGAACCAGATTCCTTTTCTATTTTTCGCTCGAAAACCAGCCGTTGAACGCGCAAGCCCTGCTCGGACTGATCGCCGATACAAATCAACAGATTGCTTGCGATGGGGGTGGCGATGACACACTGGTACATGACTCTCGTCTTTGCCGTCCTTCGCGCTTGACACAGCAAAGCAAACGGGAAAAGAAATCAAGGGCAGCGCACCAATACCGCTCTGCAGCGTGCCGCTCCCACCGTTAGCAACAACCGTATACACCGGATGTCCCTGACCGAACGAAACTACGGCACTTGTGTGCAGCCGTCCGCAACAGCTCCTCCTAATTGTTTCGGCAAAGGCAGCAAACGAGCCGAGTACTGCGAGTTGAAAAATACACAAAAACTTGTTAAACGTCAAGTTAAAACTTGTAGTACTCACACATCTGGTCCACGGCGCCGGTCAGGGTGAGGTCCCTGTACTCGCGGTACATGTTGTGCGTGCCGGAGCGGGAGTCGTAACGGAGCCAGATGCCGTAGTTCTTGATGATGCGAGCGTTCTTCTCCGTCAGCTGTTGTCACAAAAACAAAACAAAAACACAAGCACAGCATTCGGAGCGCGGAAGCAAAAAGGTAGAGTCGAGCACAAGCGCCCATTAACAATCAGGGGCGGCGGCGGCAATTGGGTGCAGAAAAGCCAACGTCTACTCCTGAGCCAAAACCAGCGCGTGCCCGATGCTCGGCATCACTGCATCTATCAAAACATCAATACTGCATGATTTTGTAGAATTAACAACAGAACTAATCGCCACCTGGCCGGGATGGGATTCTACGCTACACCATATCCTTGCACCCGCCACGGTTGCTACAGAACACCGCACCGTGTGACCGTATATACCCCGGCTCAAACGCCATCAGCGAGCGGAAGCCGGCCGGCCAGCCGAGAAACGAACGCACCTCCACGATGTCGAGGATCTCCCCGGTGGTCTTCTTCATCTTACGCATCTGGTGCATGAGGTACCAGAACTGAGAGGCGCCGGTCACCTCGTTCGGCGCGAACACCTTCGGTGGTTTTCGATACGGGTGGTGGTGGATGGTATTCAAGGGAAAAAAAAAAAAAAACACACACACAAGGGGGCACACAGAGAGGGCGAGAGACGGGAGATGGGGGGGGGGGGGTGTACTCATAGTCGTGCATGCCGTAGTCGTTAGACCATCGGAGATGGGGGGGGGAGAAACATCGGACAGATAGAGTTAGATTCCCAAGACGCGGCGGAACACCTAGCGCAGGCTCCACAACGATTCCAAGCACACGCAGCAGCCCTACCAAAGCCACGATACAGTGTGAACCTCCCTAATAAGCAGCTGTGCCTTGACTTGCAACGAGACACGCCGAGGCGTACAGCCGGGAATTGAAAGCGTCCTCTCCACCTACGTGCAAGAGGAACTGCATGCACGGCGTTAAACACGGTGTCCTTGGCAATAATTGAACAACAAGGGAGGCCCTGCCGCCCACCCGAGATGGGTCTGAAGGAGAGTCATCTCTTTCCAAGCCCTTGCACTCAAGTCTCAACCGAGCCTACAGGGAAAAACGCTTCTCTAGAAAGGAACCTAGATGTTGCAAAGCAGCTGACATACAAACGACAGCACCTAAAACTCTGACTATTGCAACTTCTTCCTCCATTCGGTACACGACAGGGCTTGGAACCCAAGCAGTAGCAGCAGCAGCAGCTGCTGCTTGGTGCTGGCGCGAACACGCATCAAATAACTAGGTCTCGAGCTCCTTCATGCGAACACAAATCAGCAGGTGGCGTATCCTCCATTGGGTACAAGGTACTGCCGTACCTCTGCCACATAAACGCCCGTTTGTTGCGATCGAAAAACGAAAACCACCAATCACAGCCACATCAAAGATCGCGCATGCGCCTGAGGTAACTGCGAACGAGCAGTTGCCTTAACTCCATCCAGGATGAGACGAACGTAACGGTACCATCTACTACGCACACGTCCGACTTGGTTATGACAAAACGTCCAACAGCAGGAACCGTAGTTTTTCCGAGAGCTTCTAGCGTGCGAGTGGCCACACAGACAAAAACAGGCGGAACGAATCACACACCTTCATCCGGTATACGGGCGGGTTCGGCTCCTTCTCCGTGACGGCCTTGCGGCCGACCACCTGGTACTGGCGCATGGCAACCATCTTCCCAAAACAAACACACACCAAACAATAGGGTTGGGGTAGGGTGCGGTGGGAGTCAAGACAACAGACATGTCGAAATCCCCATTTACAGCTTGGCGAGAAGGCGGATGGGTGGGGTGGGCGTGGACATACGCAAGGTACGGGAAACCGTGCATTTCGATGTTGAGTGCCGCTACCGAGTTGTGCGGAGGGAGTCGCACGGCTGCCAGGCTGCCTGAGGAAGTTACAAACACTCGACCGCTACTGCTGCCGCTGGAGTCGATATCCATCCTCATTGGAAAGAAGTGTGATCTTCCACAGGTTTGCCTTCTGGAAAATTTAATCAGCATACTTTTTTAATCACGGGAAAGCAGCAGCAGCAGCAACAGCAACAGCCTCTCGACAGAAGGCAAGCACAGCTTAAGACCAGACGAAGTGCACCCCGCAGGGTCTACACCGGGGTGGTTACGGGATAAGGGCATTGTTTCACAAAAGACATGGGGTGCACAGCTGTGACGGGTTGTTCTTGACTAATACTGTTTGTGTGATGGAGAATTCCGAAGCTGCACAGCTGACGGGTTGTTAATGGCAATTACTGCTTGTGATGGAGAACATCAACCGACTGGGGATTTCCGCAGCCCCGGTGCCCCGTCCAACGGGAACAGTCCGCAGAGAGCCGAACGACCGCGCTAACATTTTCGAAATGATCTCGAAAGGTACCTCGGTGGTGCCATCTATCTATCTACGCGTGGAGGAGGGGACATCATCACCTGCCCGTCTTGTTGAGCGTTTGTTCGGCAATCGGGCGTCAAACTCGCATGTGTATGCGGCACAGCAGTACACACACATGCGGGGGGGTGGCATACGAGTTTGATCAACGGATACCCGTATAGTACAAGGTGTCGCTCCCTCGCAATCAAGGTAATTTAGCGCCCGAGGATTGTTGCATCGTGCGTTTCGATTGACCGGTATTGTGCCAAGTGTTCCACTCACTTTACAGCTGGACTCGTGGCCTAGTTGTAGCCCTAGTTGTAGCCCTACTTGTAGGCCTATTTGTAGGCCTATTTTGTAGGGAAACGTCTGCCTTTCTTACAACAGCAGTACCCGACACGGAGCACACTATAATAGAGTAGTATCATAATGCTGCAGTGATATGCTGCAGAGCCATCTTTGGCGTACGCAAAAAAATCACGAGTGCCGACTACACCGGATCACAAACACCGCGTTTCAGGTGCTGGTAGGGTTGCATGATGCCGCTTCTCCCCACGCACGGCTACTGTACATGCGGAGAGCCGGGTAGGTGTGCGCCATGTCAATGATGCAAAGGCGGTACAACCATGCTCGAGGGAGCGCTGCTGGGTGAGGCAACCAACTCCCACACACAAGCAAGGCGCTTTATCGACGACAAGAGTAGCGAGACAAGAAGGTGTGATTGCTGGCACACGCACCAACGCTCTGTCGACGCGGCTTGCTGACTTGGGCAGCCGCCAGAATCGTGCGCTCAACTGGCGGGTCGCGTGACTACAGACGTACGGGGTGGCTGTGCTCTCAAATTTATCGGGTGTAGTCTCGTGACACGCACAGAACCTGCAGCGGTACTGAACGTCGACCAAGCCCTGCAGAGAACAGCTCATCCAAACGAACGCCGACAATGCGGCCGCAACAAGAACTACCCCGGCCTCTATTCTCCACAGCCGCATAAAAGCGTGTCGCCTCCTCCCTCCTCGTTGCAGAAGCAGCAGCGGAAAGAAAGACAGCACCACAGGCCGTCGGCAGTCGACAGCCACCCTCACCACTGCTGGTCCACAAAAAAAGAGGGTTCAAAATTTCTCGTGTTCGTGCTCTAGTCTTGCGGTGACGTTCTTTGCATAAGAGCGAACCTCGCAAGCTGGACATGGATTCTTGACAACCACCAGTACTCGCTGCTCGCTCACCTTGAACAGCCGGATTCCGTGGGGTTGCCTGAGGATCAGCAGGACTGGCCTCGCAGCTCCCCGGCAACGCAAAGCTAGAGAGGGGGGACGTAGAATCAATCTGCACGAGTAGGGGGGTACAAATGTAACTGCTGTGTTGCTCTTTTCTGTTTCTCGACGAACCGCGTGGTGCTTTTCGACCATTGGTCCGTATACTCTGCATGTCTTCACAGTCTGGCCTCACACTCTCGTCGGGGGGAATGTTGTTGTAGTTGAGCAGCGATCTAGACTTTGATATCGAGATAGAGAATACGAGCGATCCTCGCCTAGAGCGCTGTTTTGCAAAGGCTATAATAGATCATCGTTTGTTTGGTGAACTGCCATACAGCCTCGATCGAGATGGCGCTCGTCAGTACCGAGACGCAGCTGCGGTCCATGTCTGCTGGGCCCGAGCGATTCATGACGATGAACCTCATGTCTTCTGGGCCATGCACCGTGAGCAAGAAAGCAACGTCGTACGGAAGGACGGTTCGCAGGCTGAACACGAGGGACAATCACACAACTGCGGACGTGGACGGTGCTCAGACCTTCGTCCGAACGAGTACCCTGACCAACAAGCCCGACTCTTACGGCGTCGCGGTGAGTCCGACACAGACATGCTCTTGATTGCTGTTGTGTACATGTCGAACGGTTCCTCCGTTGTTTCTGCATCAGCTATTGCGTGGACTTGTGCTGTTTTCCCTCTCTAAGCCACGCGCGGGACCTCCGCGTTGGTCATGTATGTACATACTGTTCGTCGACTCTGAGAGAGTTTTGCAGATTAACATCATTATTTTATTATTTAAAAGAAAGGACATCATTGTTGAGTGTGCATATTTAAAAAGTCTCGACGAAGGTTCATGATGTAAGCTCTTTAGGTACGTTGCGACCTCACTCTCGTGATCTTTACCGTCCGATTTTTCCTCAACAACCTACATAACAGCAGACACCAATGGTGACAAACAATTTGTTCTCCAGGGACATGTTCTTACCACAGCAGTTGTGATATGTATTGGTACTTCTGCCGCCAGTGGATGAATGCTATGTATCGATGCCATCTCTCGTCGCCTGTTCGGTCGCTGAGACAACAATCACTACAGTATGGGTGCGAGATAAATAGGGGCCCGTCACAACGAAGCGAAGGTCTTGCTCGAGATTGCAACTGGTGTGTTGCTCGGGATGCTCACTGTCATCTCGATGGCCCGAAGAAGCCGCCTTGAACAAACTGCAGCCTTCGCATACCCCTCTTCGCGATCCCAACGCATTGCCTTCGCCTGCAGGACATACTTGGCACCGGCTCTATGCGCTTGCACAAGGACACCAACAAGCCGGATCGACAGCTCTACCACGACGACATCGAGGGGAGCAACCCGCGAAACAAGTGGCTCTTCCGAACGACACGCTGCATCGACCCTCTTGAGCCCGAGTACACGCTGCCGTCGTTCACAACCGCGCCCCCGATCGCTCCCAAGTTCACGCGGGACTCTCACGATGTATCTGACATAGAGGGCACCAAATCTAGGCCGCTGTACCCCTTGGAGCAGCGGCACAACACCCTCGTGGACGATATCGAGGTAGGTGTATTTTGAAGGCATTGGAGCAAGTGTTGAGCCCGGCCATTGATCACAGTTGATGATGGTTTCCTTATCGTAGTCCGGTCATTCGCGGACGTTTATTTGTTCGCCCCCGAATCACTGTTGATGATCTAAAACTAAACCACAAACTCACAACAAGCCGCAGTTTGACGATGTATGGGCAGCAACCTGCAGCCGAAACATGTTTCTGATACCATCGGCTCCACGGCCCCCTCTCTCGACGTCGATTGACCACGCGCGTTGGAAAAAATAATAAAAAAGCAGGGGGCTCAGTCCGGCTGGAAGCCGAGGCACCGGCGCGCTCGGCACGAGGCCGCCCCGCTGGACCACTGCCTCAACGTGAGCGACATCACTGGCGGCGGGTTCCGCACTCGGAGGGCGACGAACCCCCTCACCCCGAGCTACCGCGTGAACGGGATGGACGTCGCGGACGACCCAGTCAAGTCTCGGCCGCGCGCCCTGCCCAAGGCGAAGGACGGGCCGTTCTACCCGCTGACCACCGCGGATATCGAGGGGGCCACGCCTGGGTGGCGCCCGCTCCCGCAGGTGAACCCCCCGCTGGAGGCGCGGCGGCACTTCCGGAACACAAACTTCATGGGGGACATCCCTGGCGCGCAGGCGGACACCGTGAAGCACTCCATCTGCACCCAGCGCCACGTGAACCCCCTGAACCCGGTGTACGACAGCCTCGACGGCGAGCCTCTGGCCAATCCGCAGACGCCCCTGTACAAGGAGCCGGCCTGCGTCGAGGCGGAGGCGCAGCTGGACAGGTCCATAGCCGCCGAGGAGGCTGCCGCGGCAACGGCAGCTGCCGCCCCGATCGCTACCCCACCCTTGGCGGCGGCCACCCCCGCAAAAGGTCAAGCGCTCGGTCGGGTCAGCAGCAACCAAGAGGACGAGTCTCAGCAGCAGCAGCAGCAGCAGCAGCAGCAGCAGCAGCGGATGCAACAGCGACAGCCTTGGGAGGCATTGATGAGACAGCGGCCGTCATCGGAGCCGCTCGCTTCAGCCCGTGCCGGCGGCGGCAGGGGCGGGGACGGCAGCTTGCTCGCGTCGCCCCCACCCGACCAACCCGCTTCGAGGACAACAAGAGCGCTGTCGTCCGCCGGGATCCGGGGCGCTGGTCCCCCCGAGGGCAGCTGCAACACCAGCAGCAAGAAAGAGACAAACGAGCGGATCCGGCGACTCGAGAACGATGTTCGGCTGTTACAGAGAGACAAAGAGGTTTGGCAGCAGACCAGAACAGCAGTGACACCTGGAACCGCGATCAAAAACAACAACAGCCGCGGCGGCGCCAGCAGAAGTAGCGGCGTTGGCGGAGGGAGGACCACGTCGCGGTCGTGGCCTGGGTCATCAAGACACCGCAATGGAAGAGAAGTGAGCAGCGGCGGCACCGCCGCCCCCGCCACCGCCACCTCCGGGGGGGGGGGTGCGATGGTGCTGCGGTCGCGCAGCGGGGATCACGGCAGCCAGCAGGCGGAAAGGCTGGTGCTGCGGAGCGCGAACGGGACGCCTCGGGTGCGGTTGACCCCGTCGGAGAGAAGGTCGGCTAGGGAGTACACGGACGACGTCACCTCGGTTCGCGACCTCCAGTGATATTGTGTCTGCTAGCGTCGCACCGACAAAAGAGCGGCGGTGCACCAAGGGCAAAGACTAAACGCGTCAGCTCGCAAGAGAACTCGTGAATCTTCTCCGTAGCCCAACGCACGTGTGTTATCGCGTGCCCCGAGATACGAACGTTGTTGCAGGGGTTGTTGCTGCTGCTGTTGCCGCGGTTGGTTTGCGGTGGATGCCGTGGGGCGCTGGTTCAATGGGTTGCCGTGGCGGCAACAGCGAGTCCGGGGTTAGAGGTGTTGCTATGTATACGCACGAGAGTATGGTGGCAGCCGTGAAAAGAGTAACGTGTCAATAGGAGGCCCCATTAGGGGTGGACAAGCGGGCGGTTTTTAAGCAACGTTGAACTCTATCGCGGGGCGTGGGCATAGCAACTCATCGCCCACCACTTCGCTGAGGAAATCTCTTCTTGCGTGTGGTCTATTAAAAACAGACGGACGGTCAAGCAACTACACAATACAATCGCGACTCCTAAATTCAACAGAATATACAGAAGCGAAGGTCACGCTAACAACACAAGCAGCTAAACAGACACAGAGGTCGCCCCCTATCCTTCCCGCCTTTCCTAGCCGAGAGTGTATGTACCTCAAATACCAGCGCCAATACCACAGACACGGCGATCGATAATCCTTACTAATTAACGCCGACAACAAGCTTCACGGTCAAACGCTACCGATGCGCTTCTCAAGCTCGCCGAGAACGTCGCCGCCACCCCTGCCCCCGGCCGCGCGGCCAGAAAACGGCCCGTCATTCAGCCGCCGATGGGTGATCAAACTCGCCCCCCGGCTGTCCGCCGGGGCTTGCCGCCGCAATCGAGCGCGAGGAGGAGCATCACCATCGTCCACGAGCCCGACCGTCGTCACTTGCGAAAAGGAAGAGGACTGCGCCACGGCAGCGGAGGTCGACCCCCTTCTTATTCTGCCGTCGTCGTCACCGACATCAGCAGAACAAGTGCCGCCGCCGCCGCCGCCGCCGCCGCCGCCGTCGCCGTCCGCGAGCGCCGCTTGGACCTGCCGCCTCAGGCGGCCCTGGAACTCGGCGACGATCTCCACCAGATTTCCGCCGTCAGTACGGCCACCACCACCACCACCTGCTCCGTCCTCGCTTGCACGCATCGCCGTGCGTCGTGCCGGCCGTCCCGCTATCGGCGGCGGCGGGGTCTCTCTCGCGTCGTGGTTACCACCCCCCCCCCCGCGCACGCATCCATCCCCGGACAACACGGCGGCGGCGCGCCTCGTGGATGATGTCTCCACCGGCAGCAGCAAATGCTCGACCCTCTTTTCCTTCCACCCTAATCCTCCCCCGCCGCCGCCCCCGGTCGCCATCGTACTGCCGCCGTCGCCGTCTCTCCTCCTCCTCAGAAAGTCGAGCTCGTGCCTCAGGCCGGCCAGCTCGGAGTCCAGGGCGCGCTTCGTAGCACGGAGAGTCTCCGCCTGGGAGGCGAGGCGAGCGGTCTCGTGCTCGGCGGAGGCGAGGCTGCGCCTGGCCTCGCTCGCGCGAGCGGCGGCGGCGGAGGCGTCCTCTCGCAGCGCCGCTCCGTCCTGCGTGGCTCTGGCGACCTCCGCTCGCAGGTCGCACGCGCGAGCGTCGAGCTCGTCCATCTTTTTTTTTTTGGCGAGAAGGAAGGAAAAGAAGCCGGCGACACACAAATGAGGGGTTGTCGTGGCTGCGACAAGTGAACGTCTTTGTGATGCACAAGGCGCACAGAGACCTCTCTCTCCAGTGTACGCACAAAGAACATTTACGCGCGCTCCCCAAAACAACGTGTCTACATGTTGTCCAAATCTCGCACGCGACCCACCCGTACTCAGGGTGCCCACCACGCTGTCGCCATTGTGTATCGAAGAGACGTCCCCAAAAACAAAAAAAAGAAAGACGACACACCGTCGAAACACGCGGAGGGGGGGAGGGGGGGGGGGCTCGTCCAGTCTCTGACCCACTGACCTCCGCCTCCAGCCGTTCCCTGGCGACCGTCGCCACGCGGAGCCGCTCCTCCTCGCGTTCCGCAGCGGCCGCGACCGCCTCCCGCCTGGCCGAGAGGGCCTCTTCCTCCCTCTCTCGCTGCCGGTCTCGCCTCGAGGCGTTGTCCCTCCTGGCGGACAGGGAGCTCACCTCGCTCTTGAGGGACCAGACGCTCTTCTCCGCGCGCAGGTGCTCGTCGCGTAACGCGGCAACCTGTGGCCGATATGGTCGGATCCGTGAGATTTCGGCCGGTGCGCGCGGAGGAGGGGGCGGGGCGAGGGAGTGAGCGAGTCAAGACTGGGGGAGTTTCGGAAGCCGCTTTGGCAAGCCACAGGGCATGCCGTGCGCCCATAGCGCTGAATACTCTTCGATCTCCCACGCCTGAGAAAGCGCATCCCCCTTCTCTGAAAACAACAAACCATATACTACAAACTCAACCTGTCACGCCTCTGTTTCGTCGTCACACCCCCAGAGGAAAAAAACACAATACACCACGACACACCGATTGAAATATTCTGTTTTCCACGCACTACAACAAGCTGACCTGTTATCCTACCGCCGGGGTGTGTGTGCGGTATTCTTGTGCGGCACACACGCAGACGGCACGAGAAATCTCCCGACACAACAACAACAACAACAACAACAACAACACGTCAACGATGCCCCCGCTCGCTCGGAAGACACGCCGTTCATCACACACACACACCTCGCGCTTCAGGTCGTCCAGCCGGGCCTGCTGTGCCTCCGCCGCCCCTCTTGCGAACCTCTCCTGCTCCCTCCTCCGCGCGACCCCGGCCTCCAACTCCGACGACTCGTCGCGGAACCCCTCCAGGGTCCTCCTCTCCCTGTCCGCGGCCTCCCTCAGCTCGGCGAGCTCGTTACGGGCGGCGGCGGCCGCTTCCCTCTCGCTGGCGCTCTGTGTGTTTCGACCGTTGGTCAAGCAAGCAAGCAAGCAGCACACGAGCGAGCGGCTTGTAAAACTCAAGGGAAATAGATGGCGGCGACGAAGGGCGGCGATGTTTTCATAGTGGCTCTGGGTCTTTTACGTGGGGACTCGACACGGTCGACGCACCAGGGCGGAGGCCAACAAAACCCCTACACGCCGGGGGTTCATCCCCGGACAAGTCCAGGGAGGCATCCGTCAGCACGCCCACACACGCAAACTACCGTCACCCATCACCTCGGGGTGGAAGCATGGTGTATACCGAAAATCTAGCCTACGGAAAACTCACACACAGCAGCGCAAGAGGAAACGAGAGAGCACGAACACACGAACGCGAGAGATGAAGAGACAAGGCGAACCAGCTAATTCCACCGTTGCCGCCCGGGGTGGCCAAGCCGGCGGAGCCATCGACGCCCCGAGCGGCGGCGACCGCTGTGAAGGCGGAGAGCAAGAGGGGTAACACGTATGAGGTGTCCATGGGAATACCCCCGACAGACGAAGTACTTGTGGAACTCGCCTGTAGTTGCACCGCCACGGCCGTCGAGCTCAGCTCCGCCTTCTCCCGCGCCAGCGCCGCGGCGCGCTGCCGAGCCGCCTCGACCGCACCCTCCTCCTCCCGGCGCCTCTCCGTTGCGTCGGCGAGCTGCTGGCGCGCCCGCGAATTCTCCGCCTCTAGCTCGGCGGCCGTCGCCTGGACGGCCTGGAGGTCGGTCCTCGCCTTGTCTGCATGGCGTGTGCATGGCGGCATGGAGGCCGGCCGATGGAAAAATAATGTAGTAGTAGTAGTAGGAGGGGCGGAAGCAGGGGGGGAAAGGGAAGGTGTAATCACTGTCGTGAGGATGTGAATGACGGGGGGGGGGGGGGGGGGCCAGCGTG